CGTTTTTTCAGTTATTTGTTCATATATTGTCATCTTTAGGGTTTTTCCTTTTGTCTATTGTCTATTGTTGGTTTTAAATAAAATATAAAAAAAAAAAAAAAAATTTGACCCTTTAAAGTTTTCCAAGTACATCAGTGGCTTGTGATCTGTTTCAAGCACAAAGGGTTTACCGTATAGGTAGTATTTAAATCTACTTATACCCCATACTAAAGCATAACATTCTTTCTCCACAGTGGAATATCTTTCTTCTCTGGGCAGAAGCTTCTTACTGGCGAAAGATACTGGGAAAGGTGTCTCCTCATAATATTGAAGTAGTACAGCCCCGAGTCCAGAATGGGAGGCATCTGTTCGGAGACAAAATATTTTATTAATATCTGGTAATTTTAGGACAGGGGGGTTTGAAAATATACTCTTAATTTCTTCGAAACTTTGGTTGGCTTCCTCAGAACAACTAAGAGGTTCCTTGACACCCTTTTTCAAATAGTCTGTAAGAACTGAAGTTAAGCTACTTATATTTGGTACGAAATTTCTATAGAAGTTTACAGATCCAAGGAAACTTTCTTAATAACTTTTTGGTAGCAGGGAACGTACTTTCTAAAACAGCTTTGGTCTTATTAGGAAGTGGTGAAAAGTTGTTATCAGAGATAATGAACCCAAGGTATTGTACCTTAGTATAGCCAAGAAAGCACTTTTGTGGTTTAACTGTAAGTCATGAGTTCTTAGTCTTTTTCAAAACAAGCGATAGTGTATTTAGATGGTCTTCCCAGACATTTGTCATGATATAAATATTATCAAAATACACTGATACATTCTTTAGATCAGAAAGAACTATTCTCATAAGCCTAATATACGTGGCACACGCGGTAACCAAGCCGAAAGGCATTGTGCGGTATTGCATTAGACCTCTATGAGTAGGGAAAGCAGTGTATGGTTTAGAGTCTGGGTGTAATGGCACTTGATGGTATGCTTGTGAGATGTCTAATTCCGAGAAGAATTTGCAGTCATGGAATTTATAACAAGTCATGATCAATTACTGGCATGGGTTCTGCATCCCATTTAGTTATAGTATTCAAATAACGAAAATCTTGTGCCAGTCCGGTAAGAATTATCGGTTTCTTAACCATAACAACTGGTGAACAGAAAGCTGATTTCGAAGGTTCTATGATGTTTAAGTTAATAGTTTGTCAACCTCATTATCAAAAGTTTTCCGTAAGTGAACGGGAACAGGGTAGATTTTTCCGCTTTACTGGTTCATGATCCGACAATTCAATCTTGTGTACAATAGTGGTGGTAAGTCCTGGTACCTCTGTGAATACGTCAGAAAATGAATTTACTAAGGCACTTACTTGAGACTTTTGTTTATTTGACAAGTCGTTGTTAATGTTGACATTTGACTTCTTTGGTGAGGGATCATGCGTTAAGATATCCAGTAGTTCCTTCGATTCTGTAAAAGACTCGTCATCTATAATACAAACTCTACATTCGTACGAATCACCACTTGTATCCAAGCTGAAAGAAGAAGTATCTTCGTCAAAGGCATTTACGCAAAGATTAATTTCTCTTCTATGGTACCGTTTCAAAATATTGACGTGATACATTCTCTCTACCCTTGACATCCAAGATATAATCTACCTTATTGCAGACCTTCACTACTTTACACGGTCCGCGCCAGGTAATTAGCAATTTGTTGGCTTTGTCAGGTAGGAGAACTAAAACTTCATCACCAACATTAAACGTACGCTTGGAGCTTTTATGGTCAAAATAGGTCTTGTACGTTTCCATAGACATCTCTAGGTTTTTTACTGACCAAATCGGCGGTTTCTTTTTCCAACCTTTCCCTTAGATCTAAAAGAAACTGATAGCTGTTTTGAACCTCAGGTTTGATATCTTTGGACCAAAGTTCATTCAAAATAGATAGTGGACCACGAGCTTGTCTCCCATAAAGCAATTCAAAAGGGGAATTACCAAGGGAATCACTTGGAATCTCGCGCATTGCAAAAAGAGCACATGGTAAAAATCTATGCCAGTCTGTTTTAAGAATACATAGTTTTTTTAGTATTGACTTTAGGATGGCATGTTGTCGCTCCACTCTTCCGTTACACATCGGATGGTAATGTGTAGTGAAAAGAGGTTTAACACCCACAAGTTGATAAACGTGTTCCATTAATTCTGAAGTGAATTGAGCCCCTTTATCCGACAGAATTTCACGAGGTATACCTACACGTGAAAAAATAGAAAATAAGGCTTCTGCGACTTCTATGGACGTAATGGATTTTAAGGGTACCGCCTCTGGGAAGCTGGACACGTAGTCAATCATAGTTAAAATATATTTATGACCTCCTGATGAGCGAGGTGTGATAGGACCAACTATATCTACTGCAACCCTTGCAAAAGGGACAGAAAATTGCATCTTACCATAGAACTCTCTAGTTCTACCCTTCTGCGTGGAAAGTTGACATACGTGACATGATCTGCAGTACTTAGATGTCGGAGGACATGCTAGGCCAGAAATATAGGTCCTTGATTTTATTATAGGTCTTCCTATGTGAAAAATGGCCAGAGACTGGCAATCATGAGAAATCTTTAAAATAGTTTCACGGCAATCCTGCGGAATGACTAACAGGCTTCGACCAACGTCATTGGGCTTGTCCGCAGACACTATAGTCTGTACAAAAGATCGTGTTTGAACTCAAACTTGTAAGAAAATTTCTTTCTCTGGGTCACCTTGCCATTTAAAGCTAACTTCCGAGATTCCTCTAAGGAAGGACAAGTCTTTTGAAGACCCTCCAAATCTATATGAGACAGCTCGATTGGCTTTCCTTTGGAAAGAACTAATGGGTGGATAGGTTTTACCTTAGACTGAGCTCTGGTAACGACGTTAATCGAGTCTAGTTGTATAGATTGTGCCACACGTAGTTTCCCACTGGCGTCTGCGTTGTCCAGGTCAAGTGACTGACCTACTAAAGGTGTTACCGGAGTTTTGTAACCATCAGCTCTCTGATTTAGGTTACCCAACTGAATCTCATCTGGAACTATCTGTGAAGAAACAGATATTAGGTTCCAACCCTTCCTTGGAAACTCCAAATTCCAAACAGTCCTTCTCAGATGGGAAAGTAGCCCCTTGTATGTTCCCAACCAAAACAGAACATGAGGTTATCAGGGCAACTACGGCATCTACCCATCCTGAGAACCATTTGCACCTAACAAAACATCTGACTGTTGGAAAAGAATCGCTTCTTCCTAAATAGTCAGTTAATTTAGTGGACTTATAACGTGAAGAATCTAGGTTAGGGAAAAGCTTACTCGAGATAACAATACAGGAACATCCTGTGTCTCTAAGAATGGTTGACACATTCATACCATTGACTGTACCTTCACTAAAAGGTGCGTTTATGTTTGATTCAGTGAAACATTTACCGACATTTTCACCTTTTTTTCTAGGACAGTCGGGACGTCTATGACCCCACTCATTACAGTTGAAACAACTTACTGTGAAGGCCGTGGAATTCTTAGGTACGGAGGGTTTGGATCCCTCAGATTGCTTAGGCACAACAGGCTTATATCTGCTACGCTCTTTAGGGTAATTATGAGCGCACACATATATATCAGCAGCTTGTGCCATTTCTGTAGCCGTATGAACGTTTCGTTCTTTAATGAATATTCGTAAGTCAGAGTTCACAGAAGAAAGGAATTGATCTCTTACCATCAGGTCTCGTAAAGATTCGAAATCGTGGTCAACCTCAGCACTATCAATCCACGAATCAAATAATCTGAAAAGTGTTGTTAAGAATTGCATGTAATTTTGATGAGGAGTTATTTTAATGTGTCTAAACTCCGACCTGTAATGATGAGTAGTTTTTTTGAAAGCCTGTAGTATAGCTTTCTTCAGCAGGCTATAACTAGAAATATCAGAGGGTAGAGTGGAATAGACGTTTAATGCTGAACCTGACAGTAGTAAGCCAAGCCGAGTAGCCCAAGAATCTACTGGCCAGTCACAGAGTAGCAGTACTCTCGAATCTAGTAATATATGCCGCTATGTCATCTTGTTCTGAGAAAGGTGGTATTTGAGGCATCCTAATATTAGGTTCTTGGGAAGGGTATTCCAGTACCCCTTCATCTATTTTCTGCTTAGATAGTTCTACCTTCTTGGCTTCTAATTCCAACCTTGATTGTTCTAACTCAATTTCCTTCATTTTGAAGGCTACCTCTCTTGCCTGAACTCTATCTTCTCTAGCTATCCTTTCCTGTTCGATTTTATCCTCCCGAGCTAGTCTTTCCTGTTCCTTTTTCTCTTCCCGAGCTAGTCTTTTCTCCTCTCGAGCTAGTCTTTCCTGTTCCTTTTTCTCTTCATAGCCATTTTAGCAGTAATGTAACTATCAAGGCTTTGTCCAGTAAATCCCATTTCCTTTCCAGCTTTCAACCAGAAATCTAAAGAATCCATCTTGTAAAAAGAATATTAAGCACCAACTTCAACTGACAATTAAAATTAACAGTAACGTCTGTTACAAAAGAGGGACACAGTCCGCACACTTTAACTTCCCAAAGTAGAAATGAAATAAATATTCTCCCTGGAAGAATACACTTGTGGGCTCAATAGCCTTCACTAAGCAAAATACACACGGTTCACACAGGAGGGGTTATTATCAAAGTTCCCCAGGTCCAACAAATAGTAAACTTCTAAACCGAACCTTAGAACCAAACAACGGTAAGTCAACCAGACTACCAGTAATGACTTGACACCTCAACTAACTCACCCTTTTCTATCTTAAATGTTATACTCACAACCAGTTGAACCATCAGGACGATGTTGCTTCAAGAGTCGGATCCTGGCAAGGTCGCCATTGTCAGTGGAACGCCTTCCAACTGAACAAAAGAAACTAATGGAAAAATAAATAAATAAAGAAATGATTTAGGAAAAACAAGAAAAATGATTTTTGAGAATTTTACTTAAAATTTAAATATAATAAAAAAAAAAATGGCCTTCAGTTCTTGTAGTTGGGTAGGAGTAGGTATGGCCCTGGATAGTTCCTCTGATGTTATTTATGTAGGTTATCCTGGGCAGATGGTAATCCGATGTTCTGGAATCTCCTACCACTTGGATGGAGCACAAGTAGAATAGGTAAGGGCCGGTAGTTGTAGAATAATGTTAATAAGTATTATTAACACACGTCTTGCCCCTTTATCTGGCGTCTATCCTGGAAGACCACGCCAGGAACAGAGCTGACAAATAAGATAAAATAAAACTGGTTACCCATAGTCATGATAATATAACATTTAAGAAAGAAAAAGAATGATAAATGCCAAAATCATTACTGGTAACCAGCAAACACTAGAAAAGAACAAACAGTAATACTCCTGGTAGATCACCCCACCTGATTAGGAGAAGAGTGGAGGCGAAGTGACCCCCCAAACTTAAATCCACACCAGGTAAGGCAAAAATTCCCAGGAGTAAAAACTTTAAACCCAAATCGGACACCGGGAAAACTATTTTTGCCCAGCCCGCCAGAGGGGGGGGGGGGTTGTGCGCGCGCAAAACAAAACCGCAATGGTTCCTGGTCCCCCGAAAAAACCCTTTAAACCCCATTAACCTACTTTTCCCTCACATTAAGAGGGAATCTCCAGCTAGTTTGGCCGTAAAAAAAACTCTAGCTAAAAGGCCCTTTTCACTGCCGTAAAAACAGACTCAAAAAAATTTCGTAATAAACATTTTTTAAAAAAAACCAAAAACCCCCGGCCGGGTTGAACCCGCGGGCATAGAGCTAAAAAACTCCAGCCCGTCCCGTTAGCCACAAAACCCCCGCTACCCCCCAAAAAGTTTTCCCACCCAAACCCTGGGAAATTATTTCTACACCTTGGGAAAAAGTTAGAAAAGGGGAAATTTGCGGGAGATTCGCCCCTGTAAAAACTTTGCATTTGTGGTCAAGAGGAGCCTGGGGAAACTTTCCTGGGGTAGAAATAAACCAAGTTGGATGAATTTTTAATTGTGGCTGTTTGGTTTAAAGGGCTAACGCGGGGGTGGATTTTTTGAGACTCAATGCCCGGGGGTTTCAACCCCGGGCCGGGGGGGGGAGGGTTTTAATTTGCAATCGTGTCATTACGATTTCTTGGGGTCCTTTTTTCGAAGCATTTGGCGTAAAGGAAAACCCTCAGATAGGCTTTTTAACAAAATTCTGGGGCCTCTTCTTTAAAAAATTCTTTTTGGGGTTTCGACTCTCATTTCGGGTTAGCGGCTTGCTAAAAATTTAGTAAATTTTGGGGGACTTGAGTAGTTTAATCTTTCCTTGCTGTCTTGGTAGGACCCATCTTGTTTAATGGGGGCCCAATATGGACGTATTTCTGGGACTTTGTTTGGGCCCGGGGGAGAAGAAATACTTTGGGTTTCTTTCGTTTTCTTTTAGGGCTTTAGTTCTTCCCGCGATTCCTGACTCCTATAAGATTCCTTTAGCTTAAGTTCGATGCTTGCAAATTTCCCCTAAACCAATTCTCCCAAAGCCTTTCAGATTATATTGACCTCTTTTACCGCTATTTTAAATTTTTTTTCCCGTCGCCGAAAAGGGGAGCGCCTGTCTTTTTCTATTTTTTAATCACCCCCCTTTTTTCAGGGGGAATAACCCTTTGTGCAAAATCCGGTGCCCCCGGGGGTTAATCTGTTCTAGGAAAAAATTTTTTTTGGGGGGTCTTGTTTCTTAGTAAAATTTTCCCCATTTATATATTTAAGATTAGGTTTATTTGGGGTTCCCATTTTTGTTTTTTGTTTTTGAAGTTAATTTTGGGTGAAGGGCTCCCTGTGACAAATCTAAATTATGTGGGTTTCTGGGGCTCCGCGCATACATGTCTGAACCTCAGTTATGTTGTGATCTGGAATATTGTTTTTTGAAAAGGTTTGACTTTTCCCTTTATCAGATCATTTTGTTTAGTGAAGATGGGGTCTTTGTATTCCCAGTCAAAGTATGCTCTTTAGTTGCTGGTTTAAATTGTTTTTTTTGCAAAAATTTAAAAAGCTCGTGTGAGTGTGAGTTTTCTTTCAGAGCGGCCTCGTGGTGTTTTTACTAAAAGAATTTTTTTTGCTTTTATTCCTCCATTTTGGGTTGGCCTTAAAGTTGAAAATCCCCCAGGAGCAAGATTTTGGGGTGCAGGAGCGGGGCAGATTTTTTCCCGACAGTGGAAAAATTTTAAAGAGGAAAAGGAAATTGTTGAAAAAAACCCCTTTTCCTGGGTTTAAAATTGTTGAGAAACAAAACCAGAAAACGTCGCAATAAAATTTTACCAAGGGGTCTAAAAGGAAAATTATACAGAGATCTAAAGGATTGGGAAAACTTTTGCAATTGCTTTAAAGTTTTATAACCTGCATGAACGTATCACAGTAGGAAACCCAAGAGCTTTTCACCCCTCCAGGAAGGAAAAAAAACTGCAGGAAAGGCAAAATTTCTTACCCCAAAATCCATCATTCCTGGAGTGGAACCAAGTCGATGGCCTCCACCCCCCAAAACCAAACAGATACAAAACTAATGCCAAAAAAAAAACCCCCCCCCAGTACCAAAAATCCCAACCAGTCCAAAATTTTTTTTTGAAAAATTACGGGGCTAAACCCCAGCAACAAACAACAAAATCCTTTTCCCACCCGTGGACGCTTGCGGGAGGCAAAGGAAATTTTTCATGTTTTAAACTGAGCCCCCCCATAAAGGATCATTTTGGACAACGAAAAAAAGGAAACCCGGGGTTACAACCTTACAATTGGCAATTTTGAACGGGAAAAAGGGGGGGGGTTTGGGGCCTTTTCCCTTTGCAGAGTCCACTTTTTTGCACAAAAACTGTTTTAATCCCCTAAAATTTCGTAGTGGAATTTTTAGCATTAAAGGTCGAGAACCAAAACCCATTTCATTGGGGTTTGTTTTACAAGCCTCCAAAATGAAAACATCCCAGAAATTTCCGGGGAAACCCGCTTTTTAAAAATGACCACGGTCGGGAAAAAAATTTTCCCGCCCCTGCACCCAACATCTGCTCCTGGGGGATTTCAATTTAAAGGCCCACCAAAAATGGAGGAATATAGCAAAATAACATTTTTGAAAGTAATAAAAACCAGGAGGCACTTGATGAAAACCACACTCACACGAGTTTTTTAAATCTCGCACAAAATTAAATTTTTAAACCAGCAAAAAAATTAGACCCTACTAGACGGGAAAATTTACACAAGCCCCCTCATTTTCACTAACAATGATATCTGAAAAGAAATGTCACCATATAAAAAACCCAATTACCAGATCACAACAAAAAATTGGGGGTTCGACAAGTATCCCGGGGAAGCCCCAGACCGACAAAATGAGCTAGTCCGGGGGAGCTTTTCCCCAAAAATTCAATTCATAAAAAAAACATAAATTTGGGCCCAAGGTAAACCCCAAGTCCTAACCGATATAAGGGGGAAATATACAAAGCAACACAGACCCCAAACTTATCCCTAGAACAGTTTAACCCTGGGGGCACCCGACCCTGCACAAGGCTTTTTTCCCTAAAAAAAAAGGAGGAGAAAAATTTTAAAATAGAAAGGACAGGCGCCCCCTTTACGGGCCCCCGGGAAAAAAATAACAGAGCGGAAAAAAGGGGTTCAAATATCAAAAAACCCCGGGGGAAGACACGGTCAGAGAAATACAAGCATCAAAATTTTAAGTTTAAAAAAAATCCTTTGGGAGTCAGGAATCGCGGGAAGAACAAAAATCCTAATGAAATCGAAAAAAACCCCAAATTTTCTTTCCTTTTCCCAAAATAAAAACCGAGAACAACGCCCAGAAATTGGGCCCCTCCCTTAAACCCCAAGATGGGCCCCCTCCCACAAAAGACAAAAGGAAAATGAGTGAGCTATCAAGTCCCAATATGACTCGTTTTTAAAGCAAACCCCAAACCCCAACTGAGGGCGAAGTTTCAAAATAAATTTTTTATGAAAGAGCCACAAAATTTGATTAACAAAAGCCAAATCCATGTTACCCGGGACCCCAAAATGATTTCGAACAGGCGATAAATGACTTTCCCCATGCACTCTGCCCCAGGGCCAGACTAAAGGGAACTTGTGTTCAAAGAACTCCCAAGAAGCCCCCATCACGAGCCCCCTTTTTCCCTTTCCAAAGGAGAGGGAGCAAGGAAACGGGGGTTTTGTCCCCCAGTTACTAAAAACACAGGGGCCTAGCCCCACTCCACAAAAAGGGGGGGAAGTTTAAAACAACAGGGAAAAGGGCCCCAGACCCAAAAGCACTAACCCCCCCCCTATCTTAAAAAAAATTTTTAAAGGGTTCCCAAGAAGCAAGAACACCACCCCCCTCTAGAAAAACCCCTCATTACACAACCCCGGGGGGAACATGGGGTTTAGAAAACCCGGTTCCCCCCTCCTGTCCCGTCTCAACACTGGATCATACGACAAGGTCCTAAAAAAGCCTAGAAGACAAAAAGAAAGCAAAGTAAAATATCCCGACTTTGCAAAAAACCTTTGACAAGTGTGGCCAAGGGCCGTAAAAAGGGGCAAAAAAATGCGCGCCCCCAAAGGAAAAAAAATCAGGAAAAGTCGGGTTTGAAAGGGTCCAAAAATTTCCTCACTAAAAGAAAAAACAGAGAGTTTGTCAAAAGGTAAAAATCCGGGGGCCAACTACGGTGGGAAAAACCTGTTCCCCCAAGGGCCCCGTACTAGCTCCCCTTTTTGTTCCCCACCTCAAAATCCCCCAATTTGGGCGAGGATGTCACCACAGCACCGGGTTCCCCCCTTTGCAGAAGACACCCGAATCTTTCATGACGGTCTTTTCCCTTGCAGACATGCAAGGGTTTCCCGGGGGACCCCTCAACCCAAACCCTTTGTGGGGTGCGAAAACAATAAAGTTTTAACGATGGAAATTTCAAAATTTCTCCCAAATGGTAAACATTAGGGGAAAATTTAAAAACTTCATCAAGTACAAAAAAAATTCTGGCCCCAAAATAAGCGAAAAAACCAACCCTCAAAAACCTGGGATTTATTATTTCGGGGAAACTCCCTTCAAGGACCTGCCCCCGTATCCCCAAACGCCCCCCGGTAGAAAAATGACAAAGGGTGGATAATAGAACCTTTTAAAAATAGGGAGGGCCAAAACCCATTTTGACACTCTTCAGGTCACTTTTTCTAACTAGGCTGGAAAATTTGCTGCAAATCTTAAAAGCACCTTTCAAGGGAGGGGAAAATTTCCACCTGAAAAGTACAAAAGAACTTTCACGGCCGCATAAAGGAGATTTAAAAAACCCTCAAATATGGGGGCGCTTTTAGGTTTTTAAACCTGTAATTTCCCCGGGAAAGCGGAGGGAGAGATAAGATTATTAAACCTGGAAAAACCCAAAGGGACTAATACCCAACCCCCCACCCGAAAAACACTCACTCCAAAACAAAAAAATTG